CCTGCTGCTGCTGACCTGCTCCGCTGCAGCTCCCATCAGGTCTGAGGGACAGAGCCTGGCAGAGGCTTGTGTTGAGCAGAATGATGGCATCAGGCTGAAACACACCCTTCAGATCAGAGACAATAAATTCTTTGTGAATAGCACATATTAAATTTTGACTTTATAATGTTCATACTGGTTTATTTTAAGCCCTTGTTAATGCATTTCCATGTACAAAATGTGAATGAACAAGTCCCGAGTAATGTAAGTATACATCCAGCCTTTGAATATTTGCTGCTTTCCGTGCAGACACTACCCTGGATAGTGGAAATCCTTCCCTACTCTGCAGCTTCTCTGCTTTTTATTGCTCAGCAGCGCAGCACAACATCCAGAGCACAAGGAGCACAGCAAGCTAAGGAACTTGTTCCCTTTTCAAATTAAGTAATTCCTCATGCAGCTCTCCTGTATGTACCTACCTTCCTACTTTTACTAAAAAGTTGAGAGATGCATCTTTTCTGTGTAGCAGCCCACCCTGTTTGCATACAGCAGCTGCAGCACCAGCACCCCTCACCCCAGGGGAGCAGTAAAGGAAACTTCTCAAGTGCCTCCTACCTGTTACGCTGTAATTTAGCTCCACCTGGTGGAAGAGGATCACTCTTTTAGCTTGCAATCCTCTGAAGTGTGATTAGATACAATCTGCTTTTTAACAGTAAATTTTAGAAGAGCCTTCTTAATTTCCCTCTGCCCACCTGTCGTGGTTTCACCCCTTGGGCTTGCAGCCACAGTTGCTCACTCACTGTCCCCCCCTCCCCAGGGAATAAAGGAGAGAATCAGAAGGGTAAAAGTAAGAAAACTTGTGGGTTGAGATAAAAACAATTTACTAATTGGAATAGTATAATAATATAATATGCAAATGAGTGATGCACAGTGCGGTCGCTCACCACCTGCCAACTGCTGCCCAGCCTGTTCCTGGAGCAGAGACAGTCCCAAAACCAAAACCACAATGCTGGAAGAGCGAGCCTGAGCAATTCCTGAGACAATACCCGCACTTTCCAGTCAGCCCTGGTTAATATACTGACATGACGTGATATGAAATGGAATATCTCATTGGCACATCCAAATGTTAATTTTGGGTTTTGCTAATTACTACAATTCCCCGCTCCCCGTTCTAGCCACCTGCAAACCAGCCAAACACGATGGCCTTGAGCTCCAGCAGCAACTAATAACATCAGTACTTTATCAACATTCTTCTCATAACAAATCTCATACTGAAATCAAAACACAGCTATCCTAGTTACTAAGAAGAAAATTAACTCTATCCTAGCAAAATCAGGACACCACCTTTACCTTGACATGCACAACAAATTCTTTGGAAAGTTCAGCGTATACTGTTGTTTCATCAGGGACTTTGCCTTGAAGATTGAACGTAATGGTGTCACCTGGGTTCCTGGCCGACTCAAGAATGGCACAACCATTTGGCTGAAGGTGAACACAGAGCTCACAGCAAGGCTCCTCTTTGCTCTATCAAAGTCAAGGTAGGAATAATAAATTATATGAACTACTAGATATGATAAAATCCAGAACAGAGTATCAGAAAACAGTTTCTGTATTGTTCAAGTATCCACAATATTACCAGTCTAGCATGCAAATGTATTTATATTTTTCAGATTTGTAATCCTGATACCAAAGTCCTAAAATAGCAGACTCTGGAATTTCAAAGCACAGAAACAGTTCATCTTAAGATGATACAGATCTAAGGATAACATGAAAGATACCTGGGTGCCTCAATCAGAGAGAGAGTTAAGAGTCTCAGGCTACAAATGCAGCAAAGAAGGTTGGAATATAAAATCGATGTAGACAGGAAATGAACTGCAGCAACTCTCTGCCATCAGCCCTCCTTTGTTTGCCTCAATGTTTCTCCTCATTTACTGATACTGAATTAAGGAGT